AATTGGCATCACACGCCAAACCCTCAATAGGGTGCCACACAACCAACACAAGATGAGGATCACACAAGCCACGAGCAATTCACTAGAGTATATTTTGGCTCTCCACCGGGGAAAGGTCAAGAACCCCTCACAATCACCACGATCGGAGCCGGAGACAATCACCAACCTCCACTCGACGATCCTCGCTGCTCCAAGCCATCTAGTTGGTGGCAACCACCAAGAGTAATAAGCGAAACACGAATACCAAGTGCCTCTAGATGCAAACACTCAAGCAATGCACTTGGATTCACTCCCAATCTCACAAAGATGATGAATCAATGATGGAGATGAGTGGGAGGGCTTTGGCTAAGCTCACAAAGTTGCTATGTCAATGTAAATAGCCAAGAGGGTGAGCTTGAGCCGGCCATGGGGCTTAAATAGAAGTCCCTACAAAATAGAGCCATTGTACCCCTTCACTGGGCACAGCTCGGGGTGACCGGATGCTCCGGTCAGATCGACCGGACGCAGGACCCTAGCGTCTGGTCACCCCGATGCACGCCACGTGTCCCCTGCTTCAAATGCTGATCGCTCAATCTCAACGGTCATCAGTACATTTAACTTGTGACCGGACGTGCTGCTCGAAGTGACCGAAGAAGCCAAGGTTAGCTGTCGCGCCCTCTGCTCATTCTGCTAGTTTGGTTCGAGTGGATGAGACCCAAGTACAACTGGAGCATGCTCTGGGTGGGGTTCACCATCAAAAGGCACTGGATCTTCATCAGCAGGAAAGGCATCCAGGAAGTTACCATTCAGAATGTAAATCAGCATAGACCAGGACCTTTGAAAGGTCCAAATGGCTAGAGGGGGCGTGAATAGCCTATTAAAAATTTCTACAACAACACTTAACAAACCGGTTAGACAATTATGAGGCGAAGCAAGTGTTGCGCTAGCCTACTAAAAATACAAGCCACCTACCACAATTCTAGTTTTAATAGTTTCTAACCACACAATGGCTATGCCACTAAACTAAGTTAGTATGCTCTCAAAGGCTAACTAAAGAGCCACACTAACCAAACTAACAAGCTCTCACAACTAGCCATACTAAAGAGCTTGATAATTAGTTTGAGGTAATATAAAGAGAGAAAGCAAGATGGTTATACCGCCGAGTTGAGAAATAAACCAATCAATCACAAGAATCAATATCAATGAAGACCAATCACCTCGGAATCAAATGATGACACAATGATTTTTTACTAAGGTTCACTTGCTTGCCGGCAAGCTAGTCCTCGTTGTGGCGATTCACTCACTTAGAGGTTCACGCGCTAATTGGCATCACACGCCAAACCCTCAATAGGGTGCCGCACAACCAACATAAGATGAGGATCACACAAGACATGAGCAATCCACTAGAGTACATTTTGGCTCTCCGCCGGCGAAAGGTCAAGAACCCCACACAATCACCACGATCGGAGCCAGAGACAATCACCAACCTCCGCTCGACGATCCTCACTACTCCAAGCCATCTAGGTGGCGGCAACCACTAAGAGTAACAAGTGAATCCCGCAGCGAAACACGAACACCAAGTGCCTCTAGATACAAACACTCAAGCAATGCACTTGGATTCACTCCCAATCTCACAAAGAGGATGAATCAATGATGGAGATGAGTGGGAGGGCTTTGGCTAAGCTCACAAGGTTGCTATATCAATACAAATGGCCAAGAGGGTAAGCTTGAGCCGGCCATGGGGCTTAAATAGAAGCCCCCACGAAATAGTGCCGTTGTACCCCTTCACTGGGCACAACTCGGGGTGACCAGACGCTCCGGTCAGATCGACCGGACGCAGGACCCCAGCGTCCAGTCGCTCAATGCACGACACGTGTCCCTTGCTTCAAATGCTGATCGCCCAATCTCAATGGTCATCAGTACATTTAAGTTGTGACTGGACGCGCTGCTCGAAGTGACCGGACGCACCAACACGAGCATCCGATAGTTTCCATTAAGGTTCCACTCGCGAATTTTTGCGACCGGACGCATCCGATCGGTCATGATCGGACGCAGCGTCAGTGTCTGGTCCTTTCTCCTCTTCTCTGTGCTGCCACGTTAGCAGGACCGGACGCACCCCTCCAGTGTCCGGTCACGAAGTGACCCAGCGTCCGGTCGAAGACCGACGCCAGCGTCTTCACTGCTTCCACTGACCAGACGCACCGGTCCTGCCGAGGCCAGCATCCGGTCACTCACAGTGACCACCATTCACCTGGGTTTAGCCACCGGACACGTCCAATACACTCTGTGAAACCCTATTTTTTCTGTACAGGGCGTCGGTGGCACCGTCGGACTGTCCGCACTCTACAGGCGGACACTCCGCCGGTGAAGTTTTGAACCCTTACTCAAATGTGCCAACCACCAAGTGTATCACCCTGTGCACATGTGTTAGCATATTTTCACAAATATTTTCAAGGGTGTTAGCACTCCACTAGATCATAAATGCATATGCAATGAGTTAAAGCATCTAGTGGCACTTTGATAACCGTATTTCAATACGAGTTTTACCCCTCTTAATAGAACGGCTATCGAACCTAAATGTGGTCACACTTTCTAAGTGTCTCGATCACTAAACAAAATGGCTCCTACCACTTATACCTTTGCCTTGAGCCTTTTGTTTTTCTCTTTCTTCTTTTCAAGTCCAAGCACTTGATCATCACCATGGCATCACCATTATCATGTCATGATCTTCATTTGCTTCATCACTTGGAGTAGTGCTACCTATCTCATAATCACTTTGATAAACTAGGTTAGCACTTAGGGTTTCATCAATTCACCAAAACCAAACTAGAGCTTTCAACCTTCCCATACCACCTATCATGGTTCCATGTGAAACAACAAGGCTTCATGGAACTCTCTCCGGGCTAAGAATCAAAGCTTGTGCAAGGATCCAGGATTTATTAGCATCGTGGTACCATTCGAAAGCCTACCATAGGGAGCAAATGCTGCTATGATGTATAAATCTTTCTGAAAGTCTAAAGGGAATGCCAAGAACATTAACCAACAAACTCTAATGTAAGCACAAGATCTGGCATTGATACCCTCATCGTGCTTAACAACTCTGACCACATGATTTGCCCCCAAATTGAAAGGTGAGTTTCTAACAAGTTGATCCCTCTGGACTGCCGACTAAAGTTTGATCAAACCCAACCCAAGTTGAGAGAGATGCGCAGCTGTAATACTGACTGTTGATCATGCTCAAGAAAGTCACTCACCAAGGTAAGCATCGGCCGGAGTTGGTTCTCTTCCGCCTACATTGGCTCGACGGAGACTATGGCGTAGTCCTCCTCTCTGGTTGGCTCATCGGCGAGAGCGACACGGCCACGGGCAGGCTGATTCCACCCGTGGTCAATCATCATGTCACCGACGAGGAAAGGTCGAGGGTTCACTAGGAAGTTGGCCATGTCGTCTTCTTCCTCACCGAGGGATTTGGAGAAGATGGGGTTTTCTTGGTGGCTTTTTGGTTGCGAGGATGGAGGTTGTGACGGTGATTGCGGATGCGAATCAACAATATGTTGCTCCTGTTCCAAAACAATGGAAGCTGAAGGGTCTGGGAAATTAACGCGCGAATCAAGGTCAAGATGGATATCCTCGCCTCTAGAGATTTTCGGTGACCATACCAGGTTGGGCCGTGTACACGTCAAACAATATTTTTTTGGTGTGACCAAAATTTGAGCAAGACCAACACCTGATCATACCTGGGCATTTTGAGCGAGGATGGCCCAGAGGCTGACAACATGAGCAAGAAGGCCCAGGAGCAACCATTTTTTAATTTGAATGGGCTTTAGGAATGTGTTGATCCAAAAGGCAAGCTGTGTCTACGGCGGGAATATCTCCATCCCGTTGCATGCCACAGTGACGTTGCTCATCAGGTCCCCGAAGAACACGGCCATGACCAGCCTGAGATTCCCGAATAGCAAATGGGTAGATGAATTAGGCTCCGAGAGAACGGTAAAAGCACCAAAACTGATTTCTGAGGAGAGGAAGCCTCGGGGGAGGAGAGCGATGTATCAAGTTCTTTGCAAAGATGACCTTTTTCCAAGGTCTCGAATTCTTTGCTGCAGCTTTTTTGGAACTTCTCGAAAGAACTTTAGTCCATTCCTTCTCCTATTCGATCTCCCAAGCACGTTTCTTGCGTTCCCAATGGGGAGTGCCATTGTTCCAGAGATGGAAATAGACATCAAATTTCGAACTAATGACTCTGCGGAGTCTATTGACATGAAAGCCAACTTCTTTTGAGAACGAGCCATCGAGGGTGGGATGGGGGTGGTGTACCAGAGATTTGAAGAGACGACGAACCTCGTCCTGGAACTCCAAGCCAGGGTTGGAATCTAAGCGAGCGGCCAGTTCCGATGAGGATCCCATGACCGATTGACGGAGACTTCTAGATCACCGGTGGACGCCATCATCGGAGAGGGAGGGGGTGGTGGCGGGGGTGGGAGCCGGAGGGGAGCCATGGCCTCAGTTGATATGTTTTTGTTTTGTTTTTGCCTAATACAATTATTGATTATCACATTAATTAAGAAAGTACTCGTTGAATTTTATGATAATCTCACGACATAGGTTAAACCAAAGAATCCATGCCTAATTTAATTAAAAATAATAAAATCTAAATGATAAATTAAATGAAAATAATAATTTGGTTTTCATACGAGTTGGGAACAAAATATAAATATAGATTCCATATAAAATACAATTAGTGAAGGAAATATTTGGATAAAAACTATAAAAGTTATATTTTGAGAAGAGAAAATGTCTACATAAATGGTCCATATAAATCATCATCATTATTAAATGGCTATTTTAAAATTTAAAATTTCAATCGCTATGTTAGGACAACATCTAAATATAAATTTAATGTAAAAAAGGCCATCCTTTTCACCACTACTACCGGTGCTATTTGTACGGAACACCTTACTGGTTTTTGAATGATTTGATTGTGATCCATCATGCATCACATCAGAACAAATTGGAGGAGAACATCAGCCATACATTTCAGACTCACCATATTGCTCACCTATGCCACGGTACTGGGTATCTAAGCTCAAATCAAACAAACCATTTTGATGAATATTTGTGTAGTTGCTCTCCGTGTTTACCACACGGTAACCATTTTGGGTATTCAGTAAAACGAAAAACCATTTTGGTTCATCCAAAGCAGAGTACCTGGCACAACAGCAGTTGAAACTTGAAACACAAGTATTCAATCTAGCCTGACGGCACACTGGAAACCATCCTGTACGCGCCCGACCTCCTCTTTGATGATGAAGAGCACACGAACGCGCCCCGAAGCCGAACTCGCTGCTGCAGGAACAGCAGCACGGCCAGCAACGCCACCCCGAGGAGGACGGCGACAGCGCGACGCCGCCGAAGATATTACCGCGTGGACCCGCGTACACGTCGTACGCGTGAGGCGCCGCACGGATCACGGTGCCGCCCACGTAGAACCACGGCGAGAGCGCCCTCGCCTTGGAGCCCGAGAACGCGTTCGAGATCACCTGGGGAAGCAGGAAGCCGTCGAGGACCAGCCCCCCGTAGGACACAAGGACATCGGCCGGCGTCGGGTCGGTGGCATCGATTAGCAGACGAGGACGGCCGTCGCCTCTGTTGGCGATCAACATCAGGACTGCCCCGAGGAAGTGCAGGAGCAAGCAAGCCTGGAGCGTTCTCCTCTCGGCGGCGGCGGATGGACCGTCGCCACCGCGTCCTGGTTCCGTTGGTCTCCTCCCCGACAAGGCCAACTGGAGAAGGCGCAGCTGCAGCAGGAAGGCCAGCATGGTGCCGACACGCAATGGGAACCTATTCGGCACAATACGATACCACGTCCACACCGGATCGAAGCGATTCTGCAGTGCCCTGATGGCAGGCTCGAAGTCGAGCATGAGAGGGATAAGGTAGCCCAGGGCCAGGACAACGAGCATGGTGATCGACATGGAAGGAACAGCCTCGGGGTGCTTCTTGGCATGGCGCAGCTGCAGGATAAGGACGACGCTGAACAACGCCGGAGAGAGCTCCAGCATGATGATTTCCACGTCCATCCTGGATTCGCGCTGCCACATCAGGTCCATCCCCTGGCTTACGAATTCCAGTGCTTCGAAGAACAGAGGATCACTCTTCGTTCTCAGGCTGCTGATCGTCCCAACGTCATGCTCATGCTCCCGCGTCCTAGTGTCCACCGGAGCGAACTGAACGGTCACCAGGACCTGGCAGTCTGACGAGCCGTTGCTCACTTGGCAAGCAACCATACAGAGGGAGCCTGTCTTAGTATCATAAACACCTTCTGCATTGATGCGCCGCTTCATATCTGCTACCGTATACTGAAAATCGTAGCTGACATTCAGCAGCCTCTGGCTGTTCACCTCTGCCGCCACGCGCCGAGAGAATAAATCGTCAGGCATCGGCCTATCCTCTTGGACGACGGCGGATCCTATTGTGATAGGCGAGGCAGACCCGTGCACGCGCAATTCTGGGCTCTGTAGGTTGAAATGGAACACGAAGTCCCGGCATGAGTGGTTACCCGGGAAGCTGCCATTCCTTTCCTTGCTCAACACCGGGTTGGAGTGGTAGTGCTCCTTGGCCTTCTCCACCAAGGTGTACTTGTACTTGATGTCAGAGAGGTCGCCCGTGTATCCCGCGCTTCTTGACACCGATGTCGCGCTTCTTGATATCTTCACAGTGTCGCCGTCACTCGCCCTGCTCGAGTTCCAGATCAATCCGACCACGGTCTTCCGGCCCTGGAACGACCATGTGTTTGGGAACCAGAAGCTGACCCCGATTCCACACTCTCCCACTGCCAGATCCGCCCGGGACAAGCCTGAGCGCACCACCCGGCACGCCCTCAGGCAGAGCTGGCTCCGAGACGAGTCCCAGAACCCTTCGGCGACGAGCGCCTCGTCCCCGACTAAGAACAGTGAGCTCGGGAAGGAGTCCGATTGATTGGCGTAGAACGCCATGTATGCGCGGACGGCGCCGTCAGTGGCGCAGCTCATCTGGTTGACGTACATGAGTCGGTGTCGCAGCTGCAGCGGCGAGCTGCCCGCCGTGTGCCTGCCTCTGCCTGTGCCTGGCCTATACTCGAGGTCGTAGGAGCCTCGGAGTAGTGCCCGGAGGCGGGAGCACGAGAAGCCTGCGCCGAGCACATGCTGCCCGTCACGCGCGGGCGTGACCGGCGGTGGCAAGGAGGCGGCGGTCTCTGCATATGTGTAGTCACCGTCGCTGTCGGAGTGGGAGTCCGCGTAGGCGACGAGGATGATGGCACCAAAGCCGGCGCCCTCGAGGCGGCCGGTCACGAAGGGCTGGGAGAGGTTCGAAGGGTGAGGCAGGCGGAGACGGAGCCCAACCTCTGACAAGAAGATGTCAGTGTCGGTGCCATCGTCCCTTGCGTAAGAGCCGGAGCCGATCATGCATAGCTCAGCGGAGGAGGTGGCGGCGGAGTAGTAGCCTTCGAGTTCGAAGGTGACTGAGTGGTGGTGTTCCCTGCGACGCGAGCCGACGCCAAATCCCTCGAGGGCGAGCGTGGCGACGAGGCGAACGACGGTGGGATCAGCGGTGTGGGCCGAGCGGCGGGGAATGAAGGAGAAGGAGCGGAGGGCGTAGGATCGCTCGGGGGCGAAGAGAAGGTCGTCGCTGCCGGAGAAGTGCCCCGTGGAGATCCGGGGGAGATTATTGCTCGCTGTCGCTGTACTATGGGAGTGGTCGCCGGTGTGGTGGTCACGGGACGGGACGGGAAAGTGGCATAGCGAGGAGTACGACGAGTATGATAGGGCTGCGGCTGCCTGGAAGATGGTGACAAGGAGAAGGCGGAGGTGAGTGGAAGATTCAAGAATCTTGGGCCGCGCCTGTTCGCGGGCTCGTAAACGATCGTAAATTTCTAGTCGGGAACAGTGTTTTTCTCTCACACCAAACCAGTCAGCAGTAAATAATCCACGATACGATACGGCCTTACGAACAGGCAGCACGGGCACTAACGCCCGTTTTTTTTTTTTTTTTTTTGACAACACCAACGCCCGGTGTTGGGCCGGCAACGGCCGGCCACCACAATTCCTGAATGCAAATCAAGCGTTACACTTCGCTACAAAAGACGAGATAACCTATACGATATGCGGAACAAGCTGACAGTGAAGACTGAGAGAAACAGAGTTACAGAATGTGACAAGCAGCATTGTTGCTTAACGGCTCAGATGCAATATGACAAGAGCAATGCACACAAAACGGGCTGCAGACCAAACGACTCCTGGAGCTGTTTGAGAACCTCTACCAAACGCTACCATAATTGTGCTTTTCTGTTTTTTTTCTTGAGAAAATCGTGCTCTTCTGTTGTGCACTATTTGACGTGCACTGAGACGCGTGTACAGAGAAACAAGAGTAATGACAATGACAATGAAACTCATTACCGCCGCTACATGTTACAGTCTTACAGAGTACATTACAGTCACTTGTTTGGTTCAACGGATAGATAGAACTGTGCACTGAGATGCGTGTACAGAGAAACAAGAACAATGACAGTGACAATGAAACTCATTACCGCTGCTACATGTTACAGTCTTACAGAGTACATTACAGTCACTTGTTTGGTTCAACGGATAGATAGAACTGCAAGAGGGAAAATAATGCATCAACAAAACATGAAAAAGCTCATAGGAGAAGAACACATACCCCTTGATCCAATCTGATTCTCTCCAATCCAATTTGATGCAAATTGTCTTCTCTCCCATACCCCTCTCGAAGCTTCCCTTTCAATAAAACTCCCATCAAAATCAAGGACACAACCCACAATTAGGGTTTAGAGAAAAGATTGGGGTCAAAGAGAGAGGAGAGAGGGGAAAGGAAGAGGGAATGGGATGGGCCGCCCTCACTGTCAAGGATGCCACAGAACGTCGGTGGGTGGGGTTGTTGACGTCAGGAAGTTAACACTGGAGCACAGGGGCAGAGCCGAAGAAGAGAGCGGAGAGGGAGAGGAAGACATGGAGGGGTGTTATGCACTGAAATCAAATAACGCTGCGAGAGGAGCAGTAACGTTGTTGCGAAGGTATGTATCTATTAACGTGGGAGCCGATTCCAGCCCAACTCAACTAAACAAGAAGTAATGTTATCCTATAGCGGTGTGAACATAGCGTTGTGAACCGATAACGGGCCAAAAAACCTCAACCAAACAACACCATTGTCTCTCTCCTGCTATGCACATATCACAGTGCAGATCTAACGGTGCACAGCAGGAGAGCACATGCCCTCAAGAACAAAATTTACTTTCTCAGCTACGGTTACTGAGAACTAATCGTGGAGACCATCTCGTACTCGCTCGAGCCCGACCGTCTGCTCTTCAAATAGCACAAGAACGTGCCCCCAAGCCGCTGAAGATTGAACTAGAAGGAGATCATGTGGTTAGTGCAAAGCGCGGCTGAAGATTGAATGTGAGGTTGCAGTTTTAGACACACCATTTGACCGAACTCAAAGTTTGTTTCAGATTGATTGTTATCTTCTTGGCTTTTCATTCTTTGTTGGGCACACATAAAGCTTTTGTTGGATGAGATTTGACAGAAGTCCTCGCTCCTTGAGCCATTCCAGATCAGGTACTATTCACTATTGCAAGTTGGTGATGCCTATATGACGAGGTGAATGCCTATACAAAACTTCAAATGGTGATCGTCTTAGAAAAGTATGAGTTGTAGTATTGTAACAATACTCAGCCAATGGAAGCCGCTTGTTACATTGTCTAGGACAAGGATGCACTGTACTCCATATGAATATTTCAAGACACTGATTCAATCTCTCTCAGTTTGTTCTTCCGTTTGCAGACGATATGACGAACTCATGCATAGCGGAGCACTATCTATCAACTTGAACAACACCTGCCACGATCACTATCCAATATGTTGTACCATCATACTGGTATGGGTAATCGCACACTAAATACACGTATAACAACTGATTCCAAAGAAAAAAAATGCCACCATCCTATAGACTATAGTGCACGACAGTTGCACAATTTGCTATCTTAGCTCACGGCTACTAAGAGCTAATGGTGGTCGTGGAGACCATCTCGTACTCGCCCGAGCCCAACCGTCTACTCTTCGAACAGCACAAGAACGCGCCCCCAAGCCGCTGCTGCAGGAACAGAAGCGCGGCGAGCAACGTAGCCCCGCACGGTATGGCGACGTCCCACGCGACGCCGAAGAGGTCGTCGCGAGGGCTCGCGTACACGTACGTCGTCGGCTTCCAGTTCCAGCTCGGCACGTAGTTGTGCTTCCTGAACACGTCGTACACGTGCGGCGCCGCGCGGATCACGGTGCCGCCGGCGTAGAACCACGGCGAGAGCGCCGTCACCCTGGAGCCCGAGAACGCGTTGGAGACGACCTGGGGTAGCAGGAACCCGTCCAGGATCAGCCCCGCGTAGGCCGCGAGGTCGTCCACCAAAGCCGGTCCCGACGGGGCAGAAATAGAGAACGCACTTGCTCGTGGACCATCGCTCGTGTGGACGATCCAGACCATGACTGCACCGAGGACGTACAGCGGGAGGCATATCCAGAGCGTGCTCCTCTCGGCGTCGGACGACGACGAGTCCTCGTGTCTGCTCCCCGCTGGATCCGTCGATCTCCGCGATAGGGCAAGCTGGAGGAGGCGCAGCTGCAGAACCAGCGCCAGCATGGTGCTGGCCCTCAGCATGAACTCGTTCAGATCCAGCGACCCGGCGCTCGTCAGCTGGAGGATGTACCGGCTCCGGGTGTCCGTGTACATGTCCTCGAGGTTGAGCACGAGAGGGATCACGTAGCCAAGGGCCAGGACGACGAGCATGGTGACCGACGTGGCCGGGAGCGCCTCGGGGTGCTTGTTCACATGGCGCAGCTGCAGGGCGGTGAAGACGCAGGACAGCGTCATGGAGACCACCATCATGATGCTCTCCATGTCCATCCTGGAGCTGGACTGCTCCATCTGCTGCACGGTCATCCCGTACGAGACGAAGTACATTGCTTCGAAGTACAGAGGATGGCCCTTCTTTCTCAGGCTCGTGATCGTCCCAATCCCACGCTCTCCCTCCACGGAGTTCACCGGAGCGAACTGGAAGGTCACTAGGACGTCGCAGTCGTCGTACGAACCGTTGGTCACTTGGCACGCCACCAGGCACAGGGAGCCTGTCTTAATGTCATAGACACCCTCCGCGGAGATGCGTTGCAACCGAGGCGAACTCGCATTCGCAGAGGCAACCTGGTATTCCAAACTGTAGCTGACATTCAACAGCCTCTGCTTGTTGACCTCTGCTGCTCCATGCTGAGAGAAGGCCGCGTCAGCCATCATCTCGTCCCCTTCAACCAAGGCGGAGCCAATGGTGACTGGCCTGGCATACCCGGTCAAACCTTGTTTCTCCAGGAAGAATCGGAACGTGAAGTCCCGATACGAGTAGTTACCGGGGAACCTGCCCTTGCGCTCCTTGCTCAACGCCGGGTTGGAGTCGTAGTGCTTCTTGGCCTCCTCCACCCGGGTGTAGTTGTAGCTGATGCCGGAGAGGTTGCCCCTGTAGCTCCCGGTTCTTGACACCGAGATCACGCCTGCTGTGTTGCCGGCGTCGCTGTTCCCGCTCGTGTTCCAGATCATCCCAGCCACGATGCTCCGGTCCCGGATCGACCACACAGCCGGGAACCAGAAGCTGACCCCGATCCCGCACTCGCGGACTTGTAGGTCCGCGCGGGGCTTGGCCGAACTCGCCACCCGGCACGCCCGCAGGCAGAGCTGGGTTCGCTTCGGGTCCCAGAACCCGTCGGCGACGAGCGCCTCGTCTCCGATCACGAAGGTACGCCTCCCCACTGCCGTGTAGTTGCTGGATGGTGAGGCGTCCGATTGATTGGCGTAGAACACCATGTACGCGCGCACGGCGCCGTCGGCGGCACAGCGCATCTGGTTCACGTACATACTCCCGTGGCGCAGCCGCAGCGGGAAGCTGCTGCTGCTAGCACCGTCGTGCTCATTGGGCCTGTACTCCAGGCTGTAGGAGCTTCGGAGCAGCGCCCTGAGCTGGTGGCACGAGTAGTACCCCGCGGCCGCGCGGAGCACCTGTCGCACTGGGACGGGCGGCGCCGGGCAGGAGGCGGCCTGTCCGTACGCGTAGTCATCCTCGGCATACGCGAGGAGGGCGATGGGACCGAAGCCGGTGCCCTTGACGCTGCCGGTGACGAAGGGCCGGGAGAGGTTGGACGGCTGCGGCAGGTGGAGGCGGAGCACGACGTCAGAGAGGACGACCACACCGAAGCCATCTTCCCTAGCGTAAGAGCCGGAGCCGACCATGCAGAGCTCCGCCTCCGCGGTGGAAGTGGCGGTGGAGTTGTAGTAGTAGCCGTCGAGGTCGAAAGACACGGAGTGGGGGCGGCCACTGTCGCGGTCGCGCCAGCCGAAGCGGGCGCGGGTCCCCTTGAGGGTGAGCGTGGCAGAGAGATGGGTAACGGCGGGTTCCGAGGTGGCCCTGGCCGAGCTGCCGCGGGGGTAGAAGGTCAGGGCGCGGGTGTAGGGACGGTCGCGGGCGAAGCGGAGATCGCCGCCGCCGGAGAAGTGACCGGCGGTGATCGAAGAAGGGACAGCGAGGTCTGCGCCGTGGGATTGCTGCAGGTCGCGCGGGGGAGTGGAGCCGCAGAGCGTGGAGAAGGACGCGGCTTTGGCGGAGGGAAGGAGCAGCAGGAGGCGGAGGAGGTGGAGGAGGAGAAGGAAGTGGTGAGCGGAGGCGTCGTGCCTCTGAGGCCGCGCCATTCCGGCAAGTGGAGGCAGCAAGACGATGGGCTATTGCTGGGCGTGCCGGTTTTATCGAGTAGCGTTGGTGCAGTCGCTTTTAGTAGGGGAGGAGAGGAGGGAGACAATACGAAGGTTCGCGCGCAACGAGTCGTCGACCGACTTGGTGGATACAAATTGTGTATCATGTACAATCTCCTGCTTCCTGCATCGTCCGCGTTGCGCATTCACGAACGTATGCATAACGGCAGCTAAGAGACATACGATTGTATGGTTCAGAATTCTAAGGGAGAGTGGGAGACCAAGACCTCAGTTAGATACAAGATCAGTAAAACGTCAATACTTAGTGACCTGTTCCTATCGGACGGTATACTTTCCCTGAGTTTAACCGATACTGCTCCACTGCAGGACGAAGATGCGCGACTTCAAGTCGTCGGGAAAGATGCATTGCTCAGCACGGGCTGCAACTAAAGTGCTCACAGCCGGAGTGCGCAAGAATGGAGAAGTCACCGTTATCCATCCCCAGTCTCCACGAAATCCCAGTTTTCTTCAGTCAACCTTATCTTTGAACATAGGGGCTAGAGGCGATGATAGCAGACCCAAGGGTGAGACAGGAAGCAAGGGTGCACATCCACAGACCACAAGCATCGACTGAAGAGAAACAAAATTCAGTCACCTGAGGGAGGGATGCTATCACCGGAACTAACAATTTCTGAGGGTCTTCTGATTGTGTTGAGTGCGCTGTCGCTGGAAGTGGAAAAGGTAACCATGCAGAAGCAAAACAACCCGTCTGAAAAGGTAGAAATAATACTACGATTATCGCCCTATTTCGCTTGGCTTATAAGTCGTACTTTTTCAGCCAACGAACAATATTTTCTCTCACAACAAATTAACCAACAGTACTTTCAACCATGGCTTATCAGCCAAACGAACAGGACGTATAGCGGAGCTAGCTCCACCGGCAACATCCATCCTTGCCGGCTTTACACCATCTCCACTGTTGCTCCGCCACCATAGGGCACACCCATCTTTTGGCTGCAGAGGACAGAACAACCTACTACATGACAGGCATAAGCTGACATGGCTGGCTGAGATTACCAAGAACAAGGGAACGAGGCAATGACCCAGGCGCGTTTGGATTCATTCAGCCTGTTGCTAAACTGGGCAGCCGGCCAAAATTCAGCCCGCTCCGATTTGGGCGCACAGAGGAAGAAAAACGAACAGCAAGTTACCAGCACTAGCTGGATTGCTGGAGCAAGCCAAAATGCCAAATAGTAGGCCAACGACTGAAAGTTTGGATTTGCTCCCACGAAGCGCGCCAGCCTGACAGAGAGCGTTGTCGCTTATCCGGCTTGTCTGTAAATGGCAAGAGCAATGCGGACACAAAACCGGCCGGCACACAAAGGTGCACAGGGGTAACACCACGCAAAAGATACACATGGCAGACTGATGTAAAAGTACTGTTTCTAATTCTAGATAGAATACGCCACGTGCAACTTGTGTCTAGAAAACAATGGCAGGCTGGGAGGATTTATAAAGAAACTAACGACCAAAAGCAGGGGTCAGTTTAGTTGCACATGGTTTATTGTGGGCCTTTGTGCCCCCAAACATCCTTCTGGGGATAGAACCCAACTATGCCCCTCCCCAGAAGCAAAATCTGTCAATCCTCCTGTTGCGAAGCAAAATCTGTCAAGTGTCAACCTCCCTACTTTTGAACTTCCATTACTTGCTGCGCTATAACTTCAGTATGGTGTCTGCTTCAATGTTAGTATCTCCAGGATTCCGGAATTCATCACAGTTGACTCCTATATTGGTGAATTCCTTCAGTAGGTCCTCGAATAACGGCTTAAGTGAGGCCTTGAAGTTGTTGGAGCAACTTTTGTCACCCTCGTCAACATCCTGCACGCCGTCTCCGACAAGGCAACCAACTTGGGCACCGTCCATGTATGACTTGCATCCTTTCAGGATTTTGTGCCCATAGTTGCGGAAATGGCCAACAGTGAAGTCCTCGAAATGCTGAAAAAGGGAACACACTTCAGATTTGGAAGCATTAAGACGGTGAGTCGAGGGTTAACCCTTTTTTTTCATAAAGGGCTCATTGTTAGCTTTGTCAATCTACTCCACAAAGTTGCAAACACGTCAATAGCGCGGTGCTAGGTCCTCCAGTTGGGAGGCTGCCAGCCAAGGTTCAAATCCTGGGTTGCACGAAAATAAAGGTCTGCCGCTGTGTAACTATTTACAGAGATTTACGTGCTGTAGGTGCGTCATGGGCAGCCAGCTTTCAGGGCCTTTTCTCGACCTTGCGGTAAGGAAATTTCCCTTGGGGATGTCGCGGATCTAACATTCTAATACTCTATTCGAGAGTTCTCAGTATTTAGCAAGTTGTTCCTATCTAACAGAAGGCTCCTGGATCAAATGACAGACATTGTTTGTGGAGAAAGAGTTGTTTCTTAAGAAAACAGAGATAGATGCATCCACAAAAACTTATATAGCAAGCAAAAACATAAACAGATCATGCATCTCCATACCTTTGGTGGATTCCGAAGAGAGTACTGCATTGTTCTGCAGGATAGCAAAAACGTTTCTTCATTGTATGCCATAGATTGCTTCTCGCCTTGAGAAGTGTTAGCATGCATTGCATACCCAGGTTCATTGAAATAAGGTTTGGAATTCAACACTAACGCCTGAATGGAGACCAGGACTTGCAACATGGTTGAATTAGATGGGTTCCACATCTCGCATCCAGTACCAGACCAGGTGTTTAAGAGGCTAAGACAGACTTTACCACACTCATAGAGATTTGGGTTAAGCCGCAATCCTCCAGATCGGTAATTCACTAGCTGAAAGAACAGTTGTATCTATTGTCATGCATATTCTTATAAATGGAGAACAAAGGAAAACAAGCTTCCATAGATACATAGGGCATCAAAATATTCTCACCGGAGGTTTACTTGGATATCGAGAAGGGAAATAGACATCAAAGAAGAAAAGGCCATCATGATATGGAGTGCCTGCTGGTCCAACGATGACAGCTCTAAGCAAGTCCATTCTATCCTCGTAAACTCGTACATATATTGTCTCTGTTCGATTTAGAAGAAAGTACCAGTAAGTACATGAAAATATTGCACTACGCATGAAAACAATTTGCATCCATGGCATTTTCTGGTTAAGATTGAACTAGAAGTCATTTTAGACACACGTGAGAATTTTTAAAGATCGACACGTCTACTGAACTGTTGAGCATGTAGAAATGAGAGGGTAAAGGACAAACATTATGTGATCAATCTGTATTTAACAAACCTGTAACATCTTTAGAAAATTAGACCATGAATAGAAAACAATAGCCACTTACCTGGCAAATCCTTCTCTAAGACTTTCCACTCATGTTGAATCCGCTTCACCCAGGCCTTTGATGGCTGTTTATAAACCAACTTGATATTAAATTGTGAGGAAATAAAGTGAAGATAGAGTATGTCCAAAGTTTAAACAGCTACCTTCTTAACAGCATGAACATTCCTTTGGCCTGTCAATGCATAGAAATTGTCACTGTAGTCACTAACAGTATCAAACTGTTTAAATGTCTTGTACTTTTCATCAATTTCACTGTTGACGACCTTAGTTTGACTGGGCTGATGTGGCATCTCAGTTGAAGGCATGTACCCCCATGGTAAAACTGCTCCCGCACCAGGTGGAACATCCATGTAATTATTCGCACCAGAGTTAAAGCTGCTACCACTTTCCATCAGTGAAGTGCTATAATTATAGTATTTATTACTGTGATCCTCTCCAGGTGCCCCAACAAACTCATTAGAATAAAATGGGGGTAACAGTGCACCTCCATGATACGCTCCTAGGCCATCCCAAGGATAAAAATTTGTGGCAGGAATAGCAGTTGGACCAGCAACATTGTAATGATGACCTCCCAGGCCATCCCATGGGAAAGCATCTATGACAGGAATAGCACTTGGGCCAGCCAAATTTGTAGACATACCGCTCTGTAGTTCCTGAACAGAAAAGGAAAAGTAAACCACTGGCATAGTATATAATAACCAAGGGAATATAAAACAAGTACACAAAATACAACACCGTTGTATGCTCTGGCCAATCCATATGAACAACTGCTTGCTTATTCTTCTGATTTGATATCTTCTCACCAATTATCATAACTCCATCAGGATCATCATCAGCATCAAGTTCAATGACGTCAGAAGGAATAACCTATATGTCGGACATGTAACATATTTAGAACAGATAGGTCTTGTGGCACCATAACAACATGTTGGCACATTTAAAAAACCAAACTTAGATAATCAAGGTTCATGTACCAAGCATAAGCCTAAACAAAGCCAAAACAAAACTCATGAATAATCTCATTTCCAGAATACAAAGAACAGCTCACAAATACTATGTTAGTTTTGAAAGAAACAAGCTGCCTTTTCATAAGAAATTTGCAGTCTGCAAAGAAAGGATTCACCCAAAAAAAAGTTGCAAACCCTGTTACAGCATAGGACAATCACATGAATTGTAAATAGATCTTACCAAAGGAAATAATAATGTTGCAATGGTCACAGTTATCTATAGAAGAAGAGACAGGGGGGGGCACTGAAGAAGGGTGTCATCATTTGGAAATCATGGTGATCAAAGTGTTCAGAAAATTGGGATGGCGACAACAAAGAAGGATAGGAGGCTTAAGTTTTCCTCAGTTGAGTGCTGGCTCACTGTTGAGTGTTGCCTTTTGTTTTGATTCCATTTTGCGGATTTGTCTAAGAACCCAAGAGTTGTATTGGATGGCTTTACTCATTCACTCGTGGATGTTGGTGGCCGGAATGCTTTTTATTCCTAAATCTAAAAAATAATAATAAGGTAGCCCCACACATTCCGTAAATCAATCACTAAAATACAAACTGATTAACTCCAACATTCGCAGTAGTCAGTGGATAGAGGAAGGAAAATTCAATAACTGCACGACAGCATGAAAATGCCATAACCAATGCTTGACATGCAGGTGACTGACATGTGGTACGTTTGCTTTGAAGGAAATTTCTTTGCTTTCAGGAGAGGATTTATAAAACTAGCATGCAGCCATGGTAAATAAATACTCTGCAGAAAGTAAAATGTGAGAAGTTGTAAGGCGGGCGCGCCAAAACGCAGAACTTAACTGGTTGGTTTGCTTTCTGAAATACAAAAGCAGGGGGAACCTCCTTTTCTAAAAAAAAAGTAAAATGTGAGAAGTAGGCCACAAAAAATAAGTTGTCTATCCAAATTATCCTAGACCCTGATGAGAATGAGTTATATTCTGATCTTGGTTGATGTACATACATAACTACATGCCTGTTATCAGGCTTATCACAGGTTTCCATTGATCATCCAAATGCTGACCAGAAAAGGCAAAAACAGAACAGACCACGATCACCACAAGGAATTCCTCAAAGTAATGACTACAACATCCAAATCTATACTATAAAGGAGCAAAGAAATTGAAATTCCATTGTTACCGTAAAACATTCCTACCCAACTGGGATTGACATGTGGACCCACAAAAAGAACGACAGCAGGAACATATGAAACAGACGTATTTCCTGTACAAGATAACGCCTCCGCCGAACTTTTTTTCACCAAGGGCTTGTTACCCGCCCGCTTGTACCCGCCTGACACTATCGCGCGCGCCGCCCCTGTATCTCCATCCGCCACCTCTCCCTCCCTACGATCACCGCCGCCCAAAGTGCCCGCCCCCGCAACCGCCGCATCCGCACCCTTCTTTCCTCCGCTCGCCCTATAGGCCGGCGCCCCCGCAACCGCCGCATCCGCACCCTTCTTCCCCGCGTCCGTTCCCCGGCGAGCGGACACGACCTCGCTCACGGGAAGCCGGTGGGTGGACGCGCCGGTGCCGAGGACGACAGACGCCGCTCCTGGTGCACAGCGCCGCCTCATCGAATTGAAGATCCGTTGATTTGATCGCCGGATGCGCTTGCGTTCAGATGGCCGCGTCGCTGCTCATGCTCGTCATGGGCATGGTAACCTTGATCGGCGCTGGCTCCAACGCCGCCGATTGTGTCCCAGCAGCCGCGTGGAGGCGAAGGGTTCCGAGGAGCGCATCCAAGAGACCAGGACCAGGGCCGCCGATAGGGTCACAGTCACAGCAGCCGCGTGGAGGTGAAGAGTTCTGAGGTGCGCATCCAGGACCAGGGCCCTTGCCGGCTCGCCCCTTCCCTCTGCGCTCCGAGACTCCACCGTCCGCCCTCGCCCCTCTCGCCGGCCGCCGGCCGCTGCCCAGCCCCAGCGCCCCAGCAGTGGCCGGCTGGCCACCCTGGCGCCTCGGCCCCGCTCGGCTGGCCCCTCGGCTGCTAGGCGGCCAGGGTCCCCTGCCCTCTGAGCACGACTGCCCAGATGGCGGCGGCGCTGAAGCCCTACCGCGACAACGAGCTCCGCAACCTCCATGGTGACGACTAGCAGGGCCCCTACCAGGAGCACCTACCTGCCGAGCCAGATGCCGGCGGCCCTAAAGCCTATGTTTAAAAAAAAAATCAAGGTATCCTGATCCCTAATTGTTAGAGTTGGATTACATTTTATGTTCTGTATTGCACATATTGTAATTCAGCAATGCATGTGTTTAGTTCCACATGCCATTTGTAGTTGGTTGATTTTGGCAGTTATGAAGAACTCAGATTCATTTTTAATTCTTGGGTTAAATGCAGACCATATTCCTTCAGGAAATTGGATTAGTTGACCCTGATAATAAGCTGAAGCCTAGCGATTTAGTTGGGATTAACAAAAACAGCTACTTGATACTGGACACATTGCCTTCAGAGTATGAGTCACGGGTTATGGCATTGGAATTTGGAAGTAGATGAGAAACCTACAGAGGATTACAATGACATTGGAGGACTTGAGAAACAGGTAATTTGCTTTCTACAACTGATGCATAGATAACATCTCCAACCCAAACATCGATAATAGATGTCTTTATGCTTTAGATTAGATGCAAAGATGGATATTCATATTTCTTTATTCCCTTGGAAGAAACTGAATTATTGTTTCTCATGCATTGAAAGGAAAGAGATTATTGCTAGCAGGTTGTAAATGAGCAAGGATGATACAGAGATTGTTGTGTCCCTGTCAATGTATGTTTTATGGTTTTATTGAAAAGTACTGATTAGCTGGCTTCTGTTGGTAAAGATACTGCATAGTTCAATTCAGTTCTTGGTATGAGGTGTTGTTAGTTTTGCACATGATGGCTATGCTGTGTTTATCTCAAGCAAATTCCCTGCTTCTTCCAAAGACAGCACTTGAGGGATACCATGCTAAAGTATCTGATGGTCTGCAATACAAAATACATTCATCACTGCTGTAGAAATATATATTTATTTTTTTATTGCTACAAAGGTGCATTTACAAATTTCAGCAGGCGTGTTTCTTGTCGGTTATTTTATGGTAATTAAACTCTATGATTCCATCCACTTTTCAGATAGCAAACGAGCTTCTGTTGGAATATTTATCAAGACATCTGGGTTCTTGGAGTGTTCTATCCAACATGTTCTTTCTAGGATATCCCCAGAAAATAAGTGGGTGAGTTGCCTTCTCACTTGCAGAGAAGGCTTATAATTTTGAAGTTAATACTGTGGTTATTGTTCTTAACATCCATTTCATGTAGGAAAGGTCTTGTTATGTTGATGGCATGTCCCTTCTTCCATTGCAGGTTGATTAATTTAAATGTACCTCTTGCAGTGAATTCCACCTTCCAGGTGAGCATAAAGTAACTAGGTGCTTTGTCTTTATGCCTCTGAATGATAATATCAGTATACACCATACGCCATTTCTTTGTTGTTTTGCCTTCTGCTTGCCTTTAGGTTGTACTATGCTTTGTTATGTGATACCAATAGGATGCCAAGGCAGGAGTGGATTTATGGATTCTTTTTTAGGGATGTAAATCATATATAAGTCTGGTTTCGCCTTCCAGTATGAAACTGAATTTGACATTGGTGTCTGAGATTTATAACGCCTGGTATTTGAGAAGGTCTAGAATTGAAAGCACAAATAATGTTTTTTTGCCCGTTCTTTTTTGTTGTTAATTACAGTCCGGTCATCTGGTGATTATCACACCGAAAATGCAAATAGATAGCCAGTCTATAAAGGTTCTGAATATATGGTGAACTATGTAATTTTTGGCACTGAATCATCTGAGAATGCACATAAAACATCCTTATATTAATATTTGTAAAAACTGTACGCACTGCTTGCTTCAGGACTCTGAGCATGCAGAGGCAGGCTATTTGTACACATCATTCTTTTAAGTATTTTGCCTATGCTATTCACACCAGTATCCTACATAGATGTCTGTATATGTTTCTCAACTGAAAGTTTCAGTTTTTGTTTGTCAACCATTATTGCCACTGTTGTGATACCACATACATGCTCTTTTTTTCCCCACAAAAAAGGCATCTGACTGATTGTGTTGTAGGTGAAGCTCTGTTCCATAACATTGATAACAAGAAAAAAAATAAGGTTGCTCTATAGCAGAGGTTGGAGCATCTCTGTAGCTCACTGTGGTTGTGATCAATGAAAAGTAAGCACACGAAGACAGAAGCAGTTGCCCTTTTCTAAGCATGGATCCAAAAATGCTACTGCTGCTCAAGGCTCCTGCCACCATGCATTGGTGAGTGCAGGTAGCAAATTAGTTAATGTATGAATGGCACAAAACTATATTTGGAAAAAATGCATTTTAGTAAAAAGAGCATGTCCTGACACAAGATGAAAAAGTTACAGTTTAACAGTAGCCGGTGAGGGTAGCAAAATTAAGGATGTTCTCTAGGATCATCATATTTTGATTAGCATTCTATTCAAGCTCAGAAGTTATCACAACAACATCGTATTTGAAGAAAATAGACTACTAGGTTTGCTAATAACCAGACCATCTCCAGCATTGTAAATCTGGCCAAATTTACTCATTTTTGCTGATCTGATCTTTTTTTGTTTAAGAGCAATGGCCAGCGCTGTTATTCTAGGAGTGACATTACTTTTAAGTCAATTGTCTCCTTTTTCCCTCCTGTAGCTAAGAGGAACACAAGCCTTAATTATTTGTTCCAATAAAATCCTTTGCTTGCCACATGAGCCAGCGAGGGAAGAAGTGCTAGAAGACGGGAGGAGCTCATGGGAAGCGAGACGCCTCGGCTTGTAGAGGTTAGAAAATAATTGTAAGTCACAATAATGAATAATCACAAGTGCATTAATCTGCAACTCCATCATGCTAGAATCATCCATTATGAAAGATTTCTTATAGACACGTGCGTGTCCACTAGTGGACAGTAAACAACAGCAGACTGCAAGACCAGACACCTGCTTGAAGCTATAATATCGATAATGCAAACACGATTCAGATAACAAAAGGGTGCAGCACAAGGTGCATCATAATCCAGCACCAGAAAGTTTAGATTAAATTCGTTCAATTCAAATCGCCCCGATACTAAACGCGGTTGCCAACCCAAATAAATTCCCCCACAATATACTCACGTGAGCACTACCAAACCACGGGGCTCACCACTGATTCTCACAAAAAGTTCAGTATACGCGACCCAAAAAGTTGTGGACCCTTTATTCTCACAAATCGCCACACCCCAGTCGCGCATTAGAACTTCTCTACCGAACACCAAACAGCCCACGGGCGCCGAATAAAAACGATGGTTCGAAAACAGAGAGAGTGAAAGAAACGCGTTTCCGATTCCCGCTTCACCTGGGGCAGCTTCAGCTTCTTGCGACGGGAAGAGCTCCACTGAGCGTCAGTCTCCGCCGACACCTCGACGACGTCGGGGTCGTGGAGCACCAATCTCCACCCCTCCCCGGAGCCGGACGCGTAACCCCTGCAACCAGAACCAGCCACCAAACAAAACACGCGTGAGAAATTCAAAACTCGCCCCCCAACCGCCCACAAAGGCGCGAAACGGCGCGCAAAAGGATCGCAGGAGGCCGGCGCGCTCACCTAGAAGAGCCCTCCGCCATCGACGCTGGAGGCGCGGGCGCCGCCAATGCGATCGCTCGAGGCGATGCGACGGCGGAGCGCGTGTGGCCGCCGGGGTTTGGGTGCGGACCCAGGGGAAAATAGATTGTGCAGAAGGAGGAGTACTCCGTATGTGAAAGCGGAAGGAGGGGGTGGGGCGAGAGAAGAAGCAAAAGCAACGAAAGGGTCAAAAGGGTCTCCAAATTTTGGCGTTTGCGCTCAGTCGGGAAGCAATGACGGGCCCTGCTTCCGGGGCCAGATAGGGGGGCCCGCGTCTGACGCGGCTCTGGCTTCTGGCCTTCTGGGGATGTGGGGGCAGTGGAATACACCTGTCGCTCACCGTAGAACTCGGTGTGGCTGGCACAGCGGCCAGCGGCACGGTGCGGTGGACGGCGGCTCTTTCCGTGATTTCCGTGGTTATTTTTATTAATATATATAGAGCTTTGTTACGGGAGGAACGGTGGGTTCCTCACTTGGAAATTATTTACCGCATCTATTAATTAAGAAAATTAATTATTTGTACTCAAGGGTAGTTTAGTACTTGATTCCCTAACCAATTCCACGAACAGGATGGAGTCGCTGCTGCCTGCTGTCGCGGGATCTCGCTGCTCTCTGCGTCGCCGCCTCCAGGTCACCGGCTCGCCGCCTCACCACCTCGTCGCACGCCTTGCTGCCTCTCTGGGTTGGCGCCAATCGCATGGCCGCCGCCCTCACCACCACGCGCCTCCGTAGGGTGATAGGGCCTGCAACGACGAACCTCCGTCGGCCTCCAATGCCACACCGCCGCCAGCATCTCGCATCACGTCGCGCCGCCGCAGGCCTCCCGCGCCAAGCTCTCTCGCGCGTCGCCACAATCTGAAAGGAAGCTAGGAAGGGTTCTGTTTTGAACCTGTTGCAAGTTGGTGAGGCAACTCCCAGGTGGCTCTCCTTGATTACGTGCTGCAGCTGCAAAGCTCCACGAAGCAGTCTCTACGGAGGATGCAGGTCTGTGCAGTGCTCCTCGACGGTGTTCCGAGGTCGGCACTGTTGGACGGCGTCCTGGCGTCTGTGCTGGTCTGCGGGCACAGGACGGCTCAGATCCTCCGGCGGCGGCGGCGAGTGCAGGACGGCTCAACTCCCTGGGCGGTGGGCGGCGAGCGGAAGACCGGCGCTCAGCGGAGATAGAGATTGAACATGGATGGTCAGCGAAAGTATTATTCTACCCTTTAAATTTATTTTAAAAATAATTCTTTGCGTATATATTTTTTTTGGTTCCTGAACCCATATGTTTGAGGTTTCGGTCCACTACTTAAATTTCTCTACATTGATTCTTTTTATTTTATAGCTATATGATCTATCAAAATGGATGGCTATAGTTTTTTCTGAGCACCGTAAAATTTCGCATATATATATTGTCAACTCTAGATGATTTTGTGAATATCTGTATTTTTAGTATCAGTAGTTAGTATAGTTAATTGACCTGTTGGCTTGGCTAATAAATCATGACTGAAAGTACTTTTGGTTGATTTGTTATGAGAGAAAAATATAGCTCGTTGACTAAAAAAAGTACAGCTTATAAGCCAAACGAACAAGACGAATATTGTCAACTTTAGGTGTAGATTTCTCTAATACTTTACTAGCTGTAAGTGCCGAATAATGCCAACTCTATAAATCTACGCCTCGTTCGTTTGAGCTGGTTTGGCTTATAAGCCATGGCTGAAAGTACTATTGACTTGTTTGATGTGAGAGAAAAATATTGTTCGTTGACTAATAAATTATGACTTATAAACCAGATACGACCACTGTAGCTGACTGTAGCTGACAAATATTTATTGTGGTTTCTATCTATTTTAATTAAGTTGACAGCTAAACAAATTACTGAGGTGGCCCTAGAGTTAATAAGGAGAGAGACTGCAAAACAAAGTAATCGTTTCCTCCTCACGACTCGACGCCTTCGCTGCTCCGTTCAAGGCGCGACGAAACCGCAGAAACAGCGTTGGGAGGACTCCGGTAGTTTCTTCCAGATCCGCTGCTCCCGCCGCCGCCTCGCCAGCTCCCACCGCGCGCGCTCTTTCCCTCGCGCGCTCCCTTGGCTTTCCCGCGCGCGCTCCCGCCATTTTCCCTCGCGCGCTCGCCTGGCTCTCCCGCGCCGCTGGCCAAATACTTGGTCTCCAAGCCCCCAATTCCAAGCCCTAGCATCATCCACCCCCAATCCATCCCAAATCTCTGCGAACATGAATCACCGGGGGAGAAATCTGAGCTCAAGTTCCAGGCGAGGCAGTGGTGCTCCCGCCGCCCTCGCTGCCTGATCTGGTTCGGTCGTCGGCGCTCCCGCCGCCCATGCTGATGGAGCCACCTCGGCCGCCGGTAATCCCGCCGCCATGGCTGCAGCAGCATCTCCAACACTTGCAAGTCTTCAAGCCGCTGGGTTTCCTGCGTGGTGGACAAGTTCCTCCCCGATGGGCTCCAATGAAGGGTATGTTCTATTTTTTCAGTGATGGCTGCATATCATCTACTAGTTTAGTGTGTCGATTTTTTCTGAATACAACATTTTGAAGCAAGTTCTGAACAAAACAGTAGTCCAGAAAATTTTTATTTAGTTGGCAAATTTCAACATTCAACCTTCAGGCATTGAACATCTCTTTTTATTTTTTTTAGGATGTACCCACCAGGTGGGTTTACCAATTTCCTGCAGTCAAACAGTAGTCCAGAAAATTTCCATTTGGTTGGCAATACAACAAGCAGAACTAGAATTTCGCCAACTACTCCAAGTTTTAATGGAACCCCGCCAGGTGAAAGCAATGCACAAGACAAAGAAACAATCAATGAGAAGCGATTGAACTGGACAAAAGGTGAAGATACTAGATTGGTAAGCAACCTTTCTTAGTTTGTAAACTGAGCTTGGACTGATACTGAAAAAAATCTGTTTGGTTGTAAAATTTGAGCTTTTGTTTGTAAATGTAGGCTTGTGCTTGGGTGCGTAACTCAAAGGACCCGGTGGATGGAACTGATAGGAAGTCAGATCAGTATTGGGCGGATGTTACTAAAGAATACAACAAATCCACAGAGGTTTGCCGCAGGAGAAACCGGAACCAACTGAAAATCCGTTCGGATCGTATTAAGAAACCAGTGAGTGAGTTCCATGGTTGCTGGGTAAAATCCAACAATGTGTACAGAAGTGGTTATAGTGATGACCAATTGATGGAAATTGCTGAAAAGATGTATGCCTCTGAACATAGTGATAAAGATTTCATGCTGAAGCATATATGGAAGGTTGTGCGAAATGAAAGGAAGTGGTCTGCATATGTCAAAAAAATGGAACAGGAAAAAGAGAACAAGGGTGCAACTAATAAGAGGGCTGAAGTGGTGAATTTGGAAGATAATCCTAACATTCGTCCTATTGGGCATAAGAGCGCTATGGGAAAAAAAAGACACCTGAAGCTTTTTCTGCTATTAGTGAGAAGCTAGACAAGTTCATTGAAGCAAGCACAATGGCTAGGAAGGACCGTGAGAAGATGGCGGAGACGCAGCCAATTATGGCAAATAGTAAGGTTGAAGCTGCTAGGTTGAATGATAAGGCAGCAGAAAAACAACTTAAGTGTAAAATGTTGGACACTTATAGAGAGTTGTTGTTAGCACCGACAACTAATCTTAATGCTCATGCTTTGGCTGAGAGGGAGAAAGCACTGGAGAGTATGAGTTGGCCTTATTTGCTAGGGAGTATTGATTGTATGCATTGGCACTGGGAGAAATGCCCTTATGCATGGAAGGGGATGTATACTCGCGGTGATCACGGTGTACCTACGATCATTCTAGAGGCAGTTGCTTCGCATGATCGTTGGATATGGCACGCCTTTTTTGGTGTTGCTGGATCCAACAACGATATCAACGTGCTTAACCAATCACATTTGTTTGTCGAGCAGCTGAGAGGAGAAGCTCCTAAGGTGCAATATTCTATCAATGGAAGAGAATACAATATCGGTTATTACCTAGCCTGACGGCATATATCCAGAGTGGCCTGTTTTCGTGAAGTCTATACAGAAACCATAGTTAGACAAACATAAACTATTTGCAGAAAAGCAAGAAGGAGCAAGGAAGGATGTTGAGTGTGCCTTTGGCATTTTGCAGTCTCGCTTTTGTATTTTGCGTTGACCAGCACGTCTGTACGAGCAAGGGGATCTTGAGAATATCATGCTTGCTTGTATAATCCTCCACAACATGATCATTGAAGATGAGAAGGATACAGAGCAGGTTCCACTTGATTTGAATGAGGAAGCCAGCACATGTACTGTTCAAGAAGCTACAATCTCTCATGAACAAAACCCAGAGATGGAAGACGTACTTAACAGAAATACTGCCTTACATGATCGCCAAGCATACAAACAACTTCAATCTGATTTGATTGATCATATTTGGCAAAAGTTTGGGAATTCAAATAGGCAAATAAATTAGGTACGTATCTAATAGTAGATCAGTTTCTAGAGATATACATGTTTATGTTTATGTTTATTTTTGTTCTCTATGGTTATCTTTGTGTACCCCAACTTGCTTGGGACTGAAAGGCTATGTTGTTGTTGTTGATGATGTTTATCTTTGTTGTCTTTTTTTTTTAAAATTCATTGTTTATTTTCACTTGTAGATGATGCTGTGGAACCTGATGGCTTCTGGGGGACTTTTGCAACCAGCTTGTGGAGGACTTCTGAACCTACCTGAGATGATGCTGTGCAACATAGATGCTGCCGTGCAACCTCATGATGCCACCTTATTATTTTACTATAATATATCATGAACTTTAGTTATTTTGTTGCTTGCGCAACCTGATGTCACAGCCTATTATCTTTAATTTTCTGGATTGGTATGATTAATATATGATTCTGCAAACTATATGTGCAGTCCAAGCAGTGTACTATATTCCTGTGTTCTTTGTTGTGACTTGCGAGATGTTTGATCTCATCAGGTACAAAGCAATCAGGCTATACGGTTGCTTGCCACAGTTGATCTATTATTTTCTTGTGTTGCATTTAAGTTATCTCTTGTATAAAAATTATTGTAGAAACCATGGATTGAGAAGGATAGTTTCTACAGCACATTAATTGCTCTATTTCTCTCTTGGAAACTGCCCCAAGAAACTATCCATTAGGACTGGCCTTAGAGATTTTGTAAATCTCTGTACCTCACCATATGTAGTAGCAGTAATTAATATTGCTAACTTAAGATGATTTTGTGAATCTCCACAGTCACTATATGTAGTGGTAACTAAACATGCCAACTTTAGATGATTATTATGTAAATATTTGTCCTTAGTTTTTTCTCTCTCCTCTCTTTTTTCTTTTGACAATCTTAGAGAATGGTCAAGGATTGAGGTAGCAGAATAAGTATTGTGTATCTGCTCCTTGTGACCTTTTAGAAGTTTACGGGCCTATTTGGATCATGCTGTCGCCGTGCCGCGCCTAAACTACGGCAAGCAAAACGGCCGCCGCACTTTAGGCGAGCATAGGCGCAAAAATGAACTAGGCTGCGTTGGCTAGGCTACGGCATGCCGCAATACAAACGCATGCCGAAACTCGGGCGTGAAAGTTGCGGCGCGGTGTGGCAGGTTGACCAAGCCCTACATTTTTCTCTCTACGATTTGGAAAAATTGCTTCCGGTCTGTTCAGTTGATGGTTTTTGTGGTCGAAAAATACGGATTTGACTGATTTGTATGAGAGAAAAACATTGTTCTACGACTGAAAAATAAGGTTGATTCTGGCGGATAAGCATAAGCGAATAGGCCGGACGTTTTATGCTAATACTACTGTTGCAAGGTTAGGGAAGCAAGTCAAATGCACACAGGTTCTGCAAACCATGTATGAGTCGAATTGGAAAAACAATATTGAACAGAGCTAAGCCTCTTAAGGGATGTGTTCCAAAATACGAGTCATTGAGGACATCGACGCGATCTGACGGTTTTACTGGTATTTCCTATGAAAATGTATTATTGCATAGAAAAATAACTATACAGTATGAAACTACTTCTCATGAACCTAGCTAACTACATTCATCTTATTTTTCAATCTACATAATTTTTTGTGTTCAAAGCTATAAAGAATACTTTTGAACGATGATAGACACAAGAGAGTGTTGAATAGTTTAAAGGGGGTGTCTATAGGTTCCATACCATTGGGTTCGATTTAAGATCCATGCTTCCATATTCTCCAATAAGTAATCGTCGTCTATTATTACGTCTTCCTCTACAGCGAAGATATTGGGGCTTTAGTGTTGGAAGGATTTCTGTGGCCTCCATCTAGGGTGGTGGCTGATAGAGCCATGGAAGATCAAGCACTCGATGGCGGGGTCATAGTTGCAATAGAGATTGGATCTTCTGGTGAACTTCATTGGTGCTAGGACAACCAGGACAAAGTGTTTTTTATTTTTTTACGACGAAAGAATAATTATATTAGATAATAACTAGGTACATCAACACGTCAAGCACTCAGAAATTGATTTTCATCTACATTGTACAAATGTTGTGAATAGCTACAGATCTCAAAACCAAACATCTACAAGCAAACATGCCCAACGAACGACGGCAAACATTCATGTAGGCGGAGTTGAGAAATTTCTTTTTTCTGGTGTTTTACTTCTTCTTTCTGCCACCGAAGAATGAGAAAGACTGATTTGAAACTTATTTTCCATAGTCCTTCATTGTGGCAAGATCTAACCATAATAAAATGGAGAAGAGACCGGAGCAAATTATTCCATGACGGCGACACCATCACCGCCTTGATGTCGCCATCTGGAAATAAAAGTCTCCATACCGTCGTACCGGTGAGGATGCTGACGTCGTAGTTGTCGCCCTATCTTCAACAGAGCCACCATGAAGAAAACGATTCCACCATGCCCTCTCGCTATCGCCGAAGAGAAGGAGATAAATCCTCAAAACCAAAAACCTTGACAGGAAGAGACAATAATCCTAAAGGCTCGATTTACTTAAATTTTTTTTATTAAAAACGATAGATCTCTCTCTTCGGCCTCCGAGAAACAGGGAGGGGGGCAAGCGGTGGTGAAGGGCGGCGGCGGCGCTCGAGTCGCGTGCAGTGGGGCTGTGCGAGTCGCCTACTCTTCTGTCAACGTCGTCCGTCCACAAATGACAATGAAAATGGGTCTCCTTCCACCAGGACAAGGCGCTTGGAGGTAGTGCATACGTCAGGAATAGACTAGATGCAGCTGCGATGGGAAATGGGATGAGGAGCACAAAGCTGAAAGGGTTTGATGTTGATTCCACGTGTATATATATAAGCAAGTAGCTACATCTGGGCCATTGATTTCCTATCCAGTGGTCATAAATTTAACAAAATGGAGGCCTCCAAATTTATCAACACTTAACCATATTTTATTAAAATTTAACGTTATTCGGATGTGACTTGAGTGGTGTAGGATAGCGTGCCTCCTACCAAAAATTTCATTTCCATGGTACTATTTTGTTGGTACAAAAAAAAACTTAGATGATTGCGGTAGATAGCCCCCTCTTTTGATTAATCATACTTAATCAAGGAGTTATTTTTTTTATTTTGGTTAATCCAATGGTGGCACTCACCAGCAAACCTTTTTGGAGCTATTTTCTTTCAGTATATAGATATTCAATTGATAATACCAATAGCTTCAAGCAACAAGAGCAAGAAAATGCACATGCTATGTGTCGGTGTTTCGAACAAACATCGGCTAATAAATTTATAATTGATACGCGTTAGGCTCGGATGGTGCACTAAAGGACACGAGGTTTATACTGGTTCGGGTTGAATTTCCCTACGTCCAGTCTGCTGCTGCTCGTGTTATTAGTACCGAAAATGGTTCGTAGTAGGGGTACAAACGGTCAAGAGAGGGACGAGTCCCAAGTCTCTGATGGATTGGTCGAAAGGTCGCCGAGCGCTTGGTCGCTGCTCGGCTGTGTGATCTGTGTTGTTGAGTCGTGTCGGTCGATCTCTCTGTGAGCTTGCCCGTCGAGAGTCGATCCCCTTAGTGGGGGCCCTGCTCTCTCTTTTATAGACCAAGGGGGAGCAGGGGTTACAGATGGGAGAAAAGAGAAAAACCAGAGGCCAAGAAGCCCCTTCGAAGGTGTTGGGCCCTCCTTTTCTGCTGAGCCAGCCTCGCTGACACGGCCAGACGGTGTCAGGGATTGGCACGTTCGTCGGATGGCTGTGTGCTGACGACGCCATGCCCTTACCGAATCAGCAAGTGGTCACGTCCCGTCCCGTCCCGTCCCTCCGGGCGGCGTGTCGGACAAGGGTGTTGACCTGTAGCCTTGCGGGGAGCGGACGGCGCGGTGACTGTACATTCGTCATTATAGAGGGCACGCGTCTCTTCTTGGACCGTAGTGGTTGTTGTATGTCTATGTCAGGTTCCGTGTCCGAGGGCTGAAGGCGGCGCCTACAACACTATTCAGACTCTGCCATGCCCAGAATGGTCTAAAGCGCCCATTCCGTCGTACC